ATTTTACCTTTGATTTCTTATACATTAACCATTTACAATCCTTAAAAAGGACTTTTGTAGTCTTCTAGACCATGACTGGCAGGTTCATATGGAGCTACACTGGTGACAGATTTTATCAAAAACTGTTTGAAAATCCTACTATAGACAGTGTCTGTCTCACACTTCTTTAAGCCCTGTTTGCACCAGCAAGGCTAAAAGGAGCACAACAGAGTTGTGCTTCATTTCTTTTATGTGCCTCTCTCACTATGAGATGGAAGACTGTCCCAGAGCTTCTGTGGTAGTCTCCTTTTCTTGGATGGGGCAGATGGGCTAGGCATCTCAGTAGGCTTCGGGCTTCAGCAGATATTCCAGAATGGTGACCTTCAACGGTGGCCCCAGGACTAAAGGTTTAGTTGGAACTCTTCATCATGAAAAAAAAATTCTGAACAGTTTTGAAATTTCAGGGAGTTCTATGGCAGAGAACTTGATCTGGGGATGATGGAAATATTCAAAACCATATTTTTTACCCTCCTGTCTGTTCTGTCCTGTGACTTCTGACTTGTAAAAACTAGTAGCTATATGGCTTATAATTAGAGAGGAAATGAATTATCGTTGGGTTTTGATTTTATACAAACATCCCACGTTAATAGTCACAAATCTAGCCATGAATGCTAACAAATAATCAGAAATTATAGTACTGCAATACTTTGATGCATTTCCTGGTTTATGAAATTAGGTCATGGAGGGGAATCTGATCTTTGTGATATAAAACTTGTGGCTAATAAGCTTCAGTTTCTTGGTGAAAAACTGAAGCACAAATATTCTTGAATGCTTATTTTGTGGATTTATGGTTGTGAATTCAAAATTGAATTTAGGTATAGGGTCTGTCTCTGCTTTACTTGTAAATTATCCACAGAGAGAAAAGGGTGTGCCTGTCTTTGCAATTCCAGCAACAGAGCAACACATAGAGTATAAACATGGCAGTGAGTTAAGTAATTAGAACCATTTTAATGTCTTTACAGCAATATAGGGACTGACAGGAATGAAATAGTGCTATTTGTTCCTTGTAAGAACGGCAAAGGAGAAAACTCTTACTGCTCTTTTCAACAGAAAGTTTGTGAAGCTACACTGAAGGTGCAGAAATTGGTTGAAAATATTTTGCCTAATTTTATCTTCACATATTGGTTTGTTGATCTTTCAAATGTTGTGTGAAAGAAAATAACCAAGGCTAATTTTCAGCATATTGTAACTGGAAAAGATGCCTAGCTCAGTTGATGATCCTGCCAGAACAGCCCATGTGAACATAGTTTTTATTTTAATTTATTAGCCAAAGCCGCTGACAATTTAAAACATATAAGATAAAATTGTATTTAATACTAATAAAACCAACCTTGCTGGCCCTTGTAAGGATATATATTTTATAAAATAAAAAATAAAGATAAATCTAGAATGGCAGGTTATTCAACATTGTTGTGTTGTTCCGGTCTAAGCGTGTCGCTGCTCAGACGCGTCCCATCTAGCTCTGATGGAGATGCGCTGAGACCTGGCTGATGGGAGGGGTCCGAGTTCGTCCCGGACCTCCCCGGGGTCTTTGTAGAAGATCCCCAGCCTGGGGAGCTGAGGAGAGCCTCTTCCAAGGCGACGGCCAAGGAATTGAGGCTCACCTTCTTCCCCGAAAGGTACCGTCGCCGCGGGGCCAGCAGACGACTGCCGGAGCAAGCGACCACAATCAAACTTCTAAAAATGCTTCCAAAAGATCTCCAAGGCTCCAAATCGTGAGTTAAGCAAAGCTCAGGTGAAAAAAGCGAACTGAACCTTGGTAGTAATTGGAAGAGCCTAAGTTTTAAGAGTTGGGGAGAGGAATTCAAACACCACCACCCCTTTTTTTTCTTTGAGCAAACTTTAAAAACGGTTTTAGATCGGAAATAAAAGACTTTGAGCTAAAATAAGCGCATAAGCCGTTAAATGAATGCAAAAACTGCTAAAGTAATACAAAGCGGGACAAAATTGTATAACTTTTGCCTTGTTTTGGGAAACTTACTTCTTGTTGATATTATGGCTGGGAGAGGACGGAGAGTGCCGGATAAAAAACGGGTGACAGGAAATAACATACCAACAACTCCTTCCCAGAACCAGGACGTAACTACAGACTTTTCCGCACTGCTAGCAAATGCACTGCACCCCCTAATGGAGCAGATGACTAATCTCAACACTAAGCTTGATAATGTCCAAAAACAGCTCAATCAAATGGATAAAAGAACCTCAGCAACTGAGAAAACATTGAAAAAGATGGAAAAACAGACTGAGAGTATTAATAAAAGAGTGGATGAAGCAGAGAAGAAAAGATCCGCTGATAAAATGCAAATAACACAGCTTCAGCTGGATAGATCAATGTATGTTCTACGTTTTCATGGGATCCCCAAAGAGAAAAATGAGGACTTAAAAGAACTCTTGGCGGCTGCCTTGGCCCCATTAATGGATTATAAACAAGAAGATTTAATAAAAGAGATGGTTGTGGCCTATAGGACTTATCCGGATTTTATAAAGAAAAATAAATTACCTGGGGAAATCTATCTGAAATTCACGAAACGATCTACCAGAGAACTGGTGCTAAAGTCAACAATGGGAAAATCCTTAAAAATCAAGAATGAAGAAGTAAAAATTTTGAAAGACATCCCTTTCGAAGTTAGAAAACAGAGGAAACACTACAGGATGCTCACTCTCACTCTGCAAAAAAAAAAAAGGAATACTATATAGATGGTTATTCCCAGAAGGGCTGAGCTTCAATTTCCAGGAAAAAAAATATAAAATTGACTCTGTTCCAAAAGCGGAAATATTTATGGACCAAGTGTTTAACACAAAAAAGAAGCAGAAGGAAAAGAACTTAAAACCAGATGGGGAGGAAGAAGAAGATGAATCCTTCTCACAGGATTCAACAAGCCAAACCTCCATGTCATCAGAATCATCTGAATCGGAGAAAGGAGCGGCCGCTCCAAAACTCCTGAAAACGAAGAAACGCAGGAAGAAAAGACTCTAGAACTAAGGCAATAGTATTAAAGGCAGAAATTGCGTTAAGCTACTAAATATGTATTAATAATTGAATCAAATCTTAACATAACATGTTATATTAGGTTAAAAACAATATTTCTATAACTTCTTAGATCGTGACATGTATTAGTCTTTACCCATTCCCCAAATCCAGTAGATGGAATAGATTAGAACTGTAGTACTCCTTCCCCTATCCAGTAGATTTATGTATTAGATTTCCTATACCCATCACCCATAGTATTAGTGTTAGGGTATTAGTATCCCTTCCCCCATCCCCTAAATTGTAGTGTGTAGAAAATGCAAAAAATAAAAAATCCCCTGCGGGGGGCCAAAAAAACAAAACACATTGTTGTGTTGTTCCTAGAGGAAGGTTTCTTTTTAAGCCAGAAAGCTTGGTAACTTGTTCTGCTGTTTTGGAGCAGTCTTGGTGTTCTCTCCCCAGGATTTTTTGTAAGCAAGCCACTTTGTTGTAATTTATAAATGTGTATATGTAAGAGGCAAGCATTACCTTACAAATCTGCCTTTCTTGCTGCAGGGATTCAGCTAATTGCCATATCTCTCAGCTGCTTTTCATTCTCTTGGGCCAGTGCTGGATGCAACTGTACATAATTCTTTAGATATTTAAGCATTTTAGGTGGCACACCAAAAGCAAACTGAGGCTGAATTCCATCCACAGAAACAAGCATGCATGACTCCCTTGTTATGGGTTCATATTCTAGAACTCAGATTTGGCCACCACAAGCTCTGAAGTTATGAGAACCAGGTTTCATATTGTCCTGGTATGCTAATTGAAGGAACAGAGATTGGCTTTGAGCAGATAATAAAGTCGGCACATATTTATTTCACTGTGCTACTAAAATACCTATTTCTTTCAGTCTGGGCTACATTTTTATTATGCCTCCGTTAACCAAACTGCTGAAGTCTTTTGATGTGGCACAGATAAAACATCAAGATAAAACTAAGAAATGGTGACTTTGGCACCACTGCTTTACCACATGTACATAGTGTCATGGGCATGGATGAGAATAAGCTGACAGAGCCTGCAGAAACCACAGCTGGCCCCTCTGAAGCAGCAGAGGAGGATAGCTGGCAAGTGCCTGTAACAGCAGTCTTCACACCTGGCCCAGATAAGAAGGAAGAACTGCAAGCTGAAGGTCCTCCTGACTCATCCCCACGTGTGACCCATTTAAGGGAGTGACTGCGACAAAACTTAGCAAGCAGACGAAGAGAGGCCAGGCTCAGCCAGCCCAGAGTTCTAACAGGAGCCTGGCCAATTGTACAGCTGGCTAATTGGTAGCAGCATTTAATTCCACACTCTGGGCAGTACCATTCGTGGGAGCAACAAGTCAGCTTCGTGCTGTTAGCATCCACTCCGGCTCAGCTCTTGCACCTAGACCTTTGGACCCCCTGGCTTTTGGCTTGGTTCTGTGTTCCTTGCTCCTGACCCTGGCTTGGCTTTTTGGACTTTGCACTGTCTTCTTGGCTCCTGACCTTGGAATGTTTTGGACTCTCTTTGACTGGCACCCCAGCCCATGACACATAGCCTATAACCGCCATTTAGTTCTGTTTTCAGGTCACATGAATCAGACTGAATTGTCCTGAATAAGGGCCCCTTTTTACGTTGCTAACAGTTGTGCAGAAGCTGCTTTTCTGTGGCTTTGTCTCTTTCTGCCTTGGTAGTGTTTGAAAGTTTGCCATGGATTAGGGGGTCAAACTGCTGTGATAGTAACCCAAGAACAATTCAATTCTAGGCAGAGTCGCACTCTACTACCCATTGACTTTACTGGATGTAAGAGGGTATAACTGTTTAAAACTGAACTGAGCAAAAGAGCATTTTGCTCATTTTGTATTCTGTGGCCTAGCTGCTTAGTACTGGGATTATAATGTCCCAGTGATATTAGTACAACAGCATCCTAGAAATGGTTTGTCTTTCAGCATCACTAATCTGAATTTTTTCAATTTCTCTTTTCTAGTGTGGCAAAGCACTTCCGGGTCTTTCAAAACAAGAAGATTGCTGTGGTACTGTAGGTACTTCCTGGGGCTTTCATAAATGCCAAAAATGTCCAAAGAAACCAGGTAAATATCTTTTTTCAGCTTTTCTTTCCATCCTACCATTGTTGCACTTACCATATTTGCTTGAGAAGATGACGCTGAGTTTAAGAAGACCCTGTTAAGACTGTGATACAGGCAAAAATGTTTCGTTGGATGTAACTGTGCCTTGTATATGAATGTAAAACAACCCCCTCATTTTTTGTGAAAAATTACATTTGAGCAAATACTGTATATGTAGTATTTTTTAAAAGTGCTACAAGTATGCAAATATCCTTTAATGGAAAGAACATAAGAGGATGAATAAAGTTTTGTATTTTAAAGTTAAGGTCTTCTGTGTTCCATGCTGCTATCGTTTTCCAGGAAGGCAATTTGTTTTTGGCAACAATAGCAGCAGAACCAGTACCCAGTCAAATTATAGTGTAATGTTCATATATATGGAAGTAGGTTCCATGAGGCACCCACAAGGAAAGAGGACTTTCTGTCTCTTGTGTTTGGCATAATCTATAGTGCATTTTTCAACTTTTTTTAAAAAAGCATATGCTTACTAATTTCCTATAGCTAAACAAATGTGCTCATCCCATAGATTCCCAATAAGCACTAAGAGGAAATTGAGCAAGCTGTTAACACTTCTGACATTTCACTGGTATCTGTGCCTGGTGGTTGACTCATTCACAGGATGCTGATTCAGGGTCACTTGGTTCCCATGACATTTTGACGTTTTCCTTACTAAAGTGGTATTACTTGCCAGACAATAATCACCTTGGATGAAAGTCAGCTTGCACTGGCATCTTCTGTGGTTCTGAGCTTTATGACCTCGTCCTGAGATTGGAAAGTTTTTAAAATGCCAATACAGGACCAAACTGATGTTAACACAGTGATGATCAGCAACATAATTTAAGGCAATTCAGATCACTTAAACATGAAAATGACTGCTATATAGCAAACCGTATAAATATGGACTTAAATCTAAGAACAGGCTCCAGCCATAATGTATAGCAGTAAAATTACAAAATAAATATCCATGTAAACATTGCACAGCGTTCCGTGCGCCTTGGTGTTTAGTCATGCTGGCCACATGACCACGGAAACGTCTTCGGACAGCGCTGGCTCTTCGGCTTTGAAACGGAGATGAGCACCGCAACCCTAGAGTCGGATTCGACTGGCTTTCGAGCAAGGGAACCTTTACCTTTACTAAACATTGCAGATCTCTCCAGCAAATGAAATCTGCAGGTGATAAAATTGTTACAAACAGGGGCACTAGAGAAGTTTCTGTTTTGCAGGTGACATGGTATGTTTCAGTGAGCTGCGCTATAGTTTGCCATTTTCTCTGTGTTGTGCATATACTCCAGGTACTGTCCATGAGTTGCCTTAATTAATTTCAGTGGAATTTGCACAGCTAGTATTTGAATAAGAGCCCTCCAAAGAATATCAATGTCATGATGTGAAGTATGGCAATGGCAAATCACCTCTGAATGTCTCTTGCCATGAAAACTCCTATAGAGTCACTGTGACGGACTGCACTTTTTACAGACTTAGAAGTGCTGTACAAACTGAGTCTCTGCATGTACTAGTTTTACCTCAGAAATCTCAGCCCCTGATTTCACCTGACCTTTCCCCCTTCTATGTTGAATAAAATATTTTGTTAATTTGGAATATAAAAACGTCTAGAGTGCCATTAAAACTCAAGGGGGCTCCCAATCCTTCCCTCAGGTTCCTGGACTGAGCAAAAAGCCAAACTATTATACTTTGACAGGGTAGGGCAGCCAGAGTTCTTCATAAAAGAAGAAAACTCATTACTAGGGTGGCTCAGTCAGACAGGGAAAGAAAAACAGAGGGAAAATCTTGCCTCTGAAGGAAGGGAAGTGAACAGGGGTGTCATAGTTGCCATAAGCTATCTGTGACTTGATGGCAAAAAAAAATACTGCCAAGGCTTGACTAAAATTAACAGAGAAGATATGGCAGCTGTGTTTGCCAAGTATAGGCAGAAATTATCTCTCCTTCAGCTATGCTCAGGAAGCTGCTCCTGAGGGTTGTATACCACTGGGGGTAGAAGGCTTCAGCAAGAAGGGACCAGCAGAAATTCTGACCCCACTGTTATGTAGTCCCCTGGCCTTCAGGAGTTGCTTTTGGAGTGACACAGCTGGGTATAAGGAAAAAATGGAAAATCAATGCCATGAACCCAAATGCTCTGCCTCAGTCCCTCCTCCTACCATCAGCAGTGTGATGATAATACTGGGCCTACCTTGCAGGATTATTATAAAGATTATTGAGATAATATATGTGAAGTGCTTTGAACTCTCTGGAGCACTAGTTTACATTTCAGAGAGTGCTGTTTTAGTGTTGCATTCTTTGAAAGAGAATGATCATTATCATTCAGAACTTTACTAATAAATACATATAATTCAGAATGTTAAATTATCCCATATAAATTGATTTTTATTTTTATTTTTAATGCAAAGTTATATAGTGATTTATATGGAGAGTTGGCTCAGTTTGAATGATTCTTCAGACCAGTTATCAAGAATGTGCTGTGGCTCTCCTGCTTCCTCCTACCTTCTCCTTTGTCAATGCTCTCATTCATTGCTGTAACCTTAGCTTGCCATAATATCCAAATCAGCAAATTATTTGAAGCTGGATTGCAATGATGTAGAGATTAGCATTATCATAGTTGCCTGCTTGAATGATCACAGTAACTAATTATCGCAGTTACAGCAGCCTAAAAATGGAGGAAGGAATCAGTATGTGAGAGCAGAGAAAGGAAATGAAGAAAAGGAGCGTGCAAGCCCATAACATTTTCATGATAGTCTGAATTAAGCTATTGTGTCGTTTTTGTCATTAATAATTTTGTCTTTAAATTTTAGTTTACTCTGGATATAGCCCAGTGGTGGACTGTCCACAAGGTTATAAAAGAATTAATGCTACTTTTTGTCAAGGTAAGATATTTTGAATGATTAGAATTTGTTTTGAGGAATTTCTCTGAATATTGTGTATTTCTTCATTTACTTATATGAGGCAATATAAATAAGTCTGGTCTTATTAACCAAAAAAGAGGTGTGGGTTGTAATTGAACTTAAGACAAGAACCCCTTGATGAAATAGAATGAAATTATTGCACACTTTCCAAGGATCATCTTGAGGCCAAAACTGCATATGAATTTTTTTCCTAGGTAGTCAGAATTACAGGTTGTAAAAGAAAACACATTCTAGAAACAGAGAGGTGGTTTTAATTTCACTTGTGAATCGATCTTACTCTGTAGAAATCAAACCTTTTCCAGAACAAACCTGTCAGGCTGTCTACTTTCAGTCAGTTTCTTTGGCCATTCTGCCCTCAACAGCTAGGTTTCCCGTTGTCTACATTCTCTAAACATTTGATTGCTCCTCAGGTTGCAGTGGTACCAGCATGATTAACAGTCACTTCCTGATTATTTCCTTTCATCTGAGTGAGCTAATGCAATGAAACAAGTCTCCTAGTGATGTGTATATGAGTAATGCAGAATACTCTCTTCATAGATAAATTGGAACAGTTTAGTACTAAGGCTTTCAAATCAAGTTGTGCGGTAGTGTGACAGTTACCTTTCTGCTGGGCAACGTATTGCTAATACAAAGCAACCCCTATTTTTCTGTGTACTTACAACATATTATACAGATAAAATGTTGAATATATTGGCCTTTTAAGAACTATATAGTATTTGACTGTATTGTGTTTTTCAATACTTTTAATAAAAGCAAAATGAAATGGAAAAATGTGTTTGTTAGGTTTTTAATCTAATGTATTTGCTTGGAAAAGAGAAGCTGATTAAAATAACAGCTGTTGAAAGGCTTGACTTTTTATTTTAGGCAAAAAGGTACTTTGCCAACAGAACACTTTGCTCAAATAAAATGTACACTTAAGAACTGGGAAAGTATCTGGATTATTATTGTTTAACCAGAGCAATAGATAGCAATTTCTTCTGCTTCCAGCTTATATTTGGACATATTTATTTATTTTATTTTAACAAAATTTATACCCCACCTTTCTTCCCTCATAACAGCCACTAGGCTGAAGTGGTCACACTTCCTTGACTTATATATTCCTTGACTTATATTTAAATGGATGGAGTGAGAGGACATAATTGCAGATATAGCACCATTGAAAGCCATGGTCCAGAAAGTGTGCTGGGGTGAGAGTGGAGTGGGGCTTTCTGTGCCATTGCTCAAGCATAGTTCCTTAATTTTTTTAAATCATATATAGTGTGTCTTCCATGTGGATTACTGTATGAGGATAGCAGCTAAAATCAGCCTACTTTTTCCTTTGTTGAATTAACCATTGATAAACAATTATTGTAAAATAGCTTATCTCCCAGAGCAGACCTGTAGCAAGAAGTATTACAATAAGAGGTCATGAAGAGGAGGGGGAAATCAATGTATAGAAGCTAGAACCAGAATAAACTGCTTTAGTCAATTGTTTTTAGATTTATTATATTTATAACGACTAAGAACATGGAACATTTTAAAAGCAGCAAACATCATCCCTAACAAACATTCTGATATTCTCTCTGTTTGCTGCTGCTGCTGCTGGAAAGTGCCACCAAGTGGCAGCCCACTTATGGCAACCCTGTAGGGTTTCCAAGGCAAGAAATGAACAGAAGTGGTTTTCCCTTGCTTGCCTTTTCTCCCATCCAAGTACTAACTAGGGCTGGCCCTACTTAGTGTCTGATATCTGACGATATCAGGCTAGCTTGGTCCATCCAGCTCAGGGTGGTAGTGTGGTATCTTTGCTAGATAATCAAATATATACCCATCGTTACTCAGATGACTCAAAATCTGGGAGGTGGTGGAGGGAGCAAGGGTTGCCTCTGTTCCCAGTCTCTACACCTTGTTAAGGTTTTCTGCATGCTTATATAGTTTGTAGGCTGACTATGCAGCACTAAGTGAGTCAGTGCATGTACAGGTAGTCCATCTGTGAAAAAGAGCCAGTCAATGCATGGATGTTGAGAACCGGGTCAGCAGGCAAAATCCTGTTCCCTCTCTTTATTAATTATCCCTGGATTGTTAGTCCTCTGTGCAGGGCTTTGGGAAGTGCAGGTTCCATTCAAAGTTTACCATTTTTAAATCCTGTTGATTCCAGGAGAAAAGATTTAAGCCCATGTTTAACATTCCCTTTAGAATCCATAAAACTTAAAGTCCTGAACTTTGGAATGTTCATACCCCAGCGGTCTTGATCACTTCAAACTGTATTTTTCCAAAGTCTGTGTTATACGTCAAGATCATCGTGCTCAAATTGTAATTTTTTTTAAGATGCCAAATGAGAAACAATCAGTGAATGAATGTGATCAAATTTAGGGGTTGACATAGGGTTTTTCTGGGCAGATTGTCTTCAGAAATACCTTTTGTCATAGTATTGGATTAATAGGATATGGTTTTTTCTCTTGTATTTCCAAATATTTGGAATAAAATTAAGATTGACATTTCCTTTACAGTTTCTGGTAGCTCAGGTATTTTTCTGAATTTCCTTACAAACGTCCTTTACTAGAATTTATGGTTTCTATTACTTTCCCCACTGCCCATCCCTTACATTTCCCCACTGCCCATCCCTCTGTTTGTCCTCTTTTGAACATTTTTTGAAGGAAAAACATCTTTGGTGTAGTGGCTACATTCATCTGATTGGTATTCATTACAAACTTTAGTTCAGGATGAGTCACAGCCCAGCTTTTCTGTTTCAGATTCTTTCCTGATTTAAAATCCTGGGCCCATAAAAATCAACTAAGCCAGACAAAACAAAATAGAGATTGTGAGCAGGCTCATGTGTTCCTCTGTTATGTGCCATCAAGTAACTTCCAACTTATGGCAACCCTCCAGTGACCTCCGAAATGTCCCATTAGTAACAGCCTTGCTCAGGTCTTGCAAACTAAAGGCTGTGGCTTCTCCATTATCTTGCATGTTAATTCCCTCCAGCCATATCGACCATATCCTCACCATCCTCACATGTGCACAGAATACGAGGAGAAATAACGTGGAATTTCAGCCCATAAGAAGAGATGACAACATAGTGATGTGGGAAAGTGATTCATCAGCATCCTGTTGGTTCCTCTGTGCCAAACAAAGATGACCCTGGAGGTCCCTTCCAACTCTATGACTCTATAACCTCCTGACTGCAGTATAGTAATACCTCTGTTGACACTGTGGTTATGTTCCTGAAAATAGTGTTTAATGAATCAGCTCTATAAAAGATATAGGAATAGACAGCTTTAAAAGGGGAAAAGATAGATTCATGGAGGATAAGTCTATCAATGGCAATGAGCCATGCTGACTGAGGGAAACCTCCCTATTCCGAGGCACTAATCCTCTGAATTCCAGAGCCAGGAGGCAACATCAGGGGGAGGCCTTGGTCTCTGTCAGGGGTCGTTTGGGCCCGGAGCATGCCAGAGCCCTGCTCCAGGAGGCCAAGAGCGGGGACAAATGGCGGTGGCGGCAAGCACCGCCAACCAGCTCCCTGCTCCCAAGCTCCTCTTTAGAGTCACACTGCAGCAGCGCCGCAATCTCTCCGTTGTATTTTATGGCCCCATATAATACAATGGAAAGATTGCGCTGCCGCTGTGGCATGACTCCAGAGAGATGGGGTTTAAACTTTAAACCCCTTCTCTCTGGAGTCACGCCATCTTTCCATTATATTTCATGAAGCCATAGAATACAATGGAGAGATTGTGCCACCACTGCGGCGCGACACCAGAGAGAAGGGGCTTAAAGTTTAACCCCCTTCTCTCTTCGCTTCTCCCCCCTCTCTGGAGTCGCTCCGCTGCTGCAGCACGGCCCTGGAGAGAAGGTCT